ACACAGCAGTCTTTCTACAATACTTCCTCACTGACATCAGCTTGTTGTGTGGAGACATGTGTCTGTCCAGCTTCCTGTTGTGTGTTTGACTCTACTGTTAGCGGAAGGTGCTGACTGTGATCAGAGCTACAAGCCATTGTTATGTTAGAAATGCATTACAATGTTTGACTGGGGGCTCATTCACTCACCAGCATAAGCTTTGTACAGTGGGCACTTCACATCACTGGTTTACACACTGCCATATCATTTTTATCCTCTCGTGCAATTCCCTGTAATGTGCATTTATTTATGAAGTGAGCGTCACATCAACATGTTGTTATATTTCTAATTTCTTCTGTATTAACGGAGACTAAAGAGGTTTGCAGGCTACATTCACAACACACAGTTTTCCTTCAGTGGCTTTGTGTTTGCATCTGTTTGGGCTGCTCATTAATGCAGCTGAATAGCCAGCTGATGTCCACATGTTCAGCTCTCTGCCTCCTATTCAAGCTGATCACCTGAAGAGAGGTGAAAATGCGCATCAGTCGCCTTTTCAAGCAGCTGATACCCATTTGAATAGAGAACCACTTTAGAAACCCTGTGAAACGCTGTCTACGACAAATTCTTAATGATTCTGCCTTCTTGTAAATTCAACCTTGAATGTGACATGAAGTTATTTCTTTCTTTGTGTAAAAACATGATGTATAAAAAGCTTCAGCAGGATATTTTTCATGAGCCTCTGATGTGATAATAACAAGCGCTTCATTAAAACTCTGCTCTGTGTGAAACACACTCCCTCATACACATCAAATATGATCAGCTGGTTTCAGGAAACCAACTAACTAAACTTCATCTTCTGCCTGAAATCAAGGAGCCATGTTTCTAAACGGCCTTAGCGACAGTAACTAAGGGGCGGGGCGAGACGCCGTGACATCGCGAGAACACTCCGCGGGATCCCGCAGCGCTCCTGTATCTCAGCCTGAAGAGCTCCGAGACCAGAATCCAGACTCAGTCCAGGACAACACGGTCCACCAGTCACAGCGGAGACCTGCAGGACGATGGAGAACCAGAACCCGGACCGCAGGAGCCAAACAGCAGCCTCGTGCTCTGATAGCGCCGATGTTCAGGTCAGTGTTCATGACTTCATCACGAGACTAAAGACACGAGGAAGAGTCTCGAGGGTCCGTGTATCATCCGTTCATTCTGTTGTTAGAGATCAGAGCCTGAAAACCCGCTCCAGGGTTTGTGTTGACGTGGTTTGATTTCCAAAGTGTCTCCGTGGTTCCTGTTTTCATCTTGAAGAGAGGAAGCTGAAAGAAAAACTCACGAGCGTTTCTCTTTTCTTTGTGCTCTGACTGTCGGCATTTTCCCGCGTTGCGCATGCGCGTGCAGCGCGTGTCATGGCTGAGCGCGCATAACAAACAATGATCCTTCTGATTGATCTGTGAGGAGGATTTCATGTTAACCTTCACTGCTGCTTGTTTTGGGTTAGACTGCTTGAATCTCTGTCATGAAATCACAATTAGTTTTGGTCTAAACTTTATTAGCTCATCTGTTAATAACTATAAAGGTGGGTTTTGATAAGTGCTTTGAAAGAGTCCATGTCGCTGCAATCTAGGATGTGTATGGGTAAGGAGTTTCATAGGGAGCGGGCTGCAATGGTGAAAGCTCTGTCGTTCAAGACAAGCTGTTCACGGTGTATTCCTCAGAGAATTAAACTCTTTTCCACAGTAATACCAAGAAGAGGGCGTCAATTTTCTAGATGTGGTTAAAATTGTACAGATGATACTCTGACTTCCCGTTCCCATGAAGGCAGCACGGAGCTCCACCACATGTAGCTGACGGGGGAAAAAAAATACACATCTCATCAGTCACAGTGGACAAAACTGGCAGGTTTTAATGTTGCAGACCACAGTTCTTCTGCAAGTAGTTTAAACTCGTAATGTTGTGAATCTTTGGTGTAAACTTTGTTTAGAATAATGTAATTCTGTTAAACTCTCTGAATTTTATGCATCAAACAATAATGCTTTATGACTTCCGTCTCGCTATATGTCATTACCTTATGTTCTTTGCTCATCTTATGTGATGTTATGATTTCCACTTAGTGTACCAGTGTTTTGATATAATGACCTTCTGTGAGATTGTTTTGTGTCATGCTTTCCTGTGAGAAAGGAGTTTCCACTGTGGCTCAAGGCTGAGAAAGGCTTTTCTGTTAGACTCCACAATTATTCTCTAGCATTAAATGTCTTCTCTGTTTCTCTGGGTCAGACTCTCTAACAGCCCTCTGGTGTATGAGCTCTGCCCTTCAGCTGAATCACTCTGTTATTCTTACTTTAATAAATATCACAAAGACACCTGTTTGTTGTAACTTCTTTATTTCTTCAGAAGGAAATATACCAAACCTCCAGTCAAACGTACTGTGACATGTTCACCATCATCCCGTCAGGTCTGTGAGGGCACCGGATTGAAAATAAAACTATAAAATTTTATAAATTACTCTCAAGATTTGTACCACAACCTGGGGCTGCATTAAGCTGCAGCATCAATGAGCATCTGTCTGCAAGAAATAACTGGCAGAGGAAGGATTGGATGATGGTTTCCATGATGTGATCATGATGAAAGTGAAACGTCCTGTTTTGATCCTGCAGTCACAAACCTTTAACTTCTACTTCAGATTCTGATGTCGTCTGTGCAGCAGCCCCAAAACAAGCGGTGGAAGCTGATTTACAAAGGTGGAAAACCTCTTTATCGTCTTCTCACTCTCACATTCCTTATTAAATATCATGTTTTCTAATGAACTGCATCATTTGTGGAAAACAAAAGCCCACTCTTTGTCCTCTGAGTCTGTTTGGGGTCAAAAGAAACCTCCAGACTTTCACTCTCAGTCCTTCAGAGTCTAACAGCTTCCAGAGGTTTTGTTGAAGAGTCAGACTGTGTTTGAGCGCCACCTGCTGCTCATTAAGCAGACAGACCAATAAAGATGAAGAATAAAGAGAACAGAGTGCTGCTGTTCCTCCATCTTCTGCTCTTTCCTTCATTGTTTTACTCTCTCTGGATGCTGCTGTGCTCTGACAGGAAATCACTGACGTTTAGTGGCTGAACGAGCAGCTTTGATTTGTTATTGAACTTTCTAATGTGTCTGTTAGCTCACATGTCTTTGACCTTTACACCTCAGCTCATGTCAGCGTTGTTTCCTCCCTTACTGTAACGTACAGAAGCTGATGTGCTTCCTGCAGTAGTTTGGTTTGTATCTGCTGTAAGCTGCAGTTAATAATTAGATCTGTTCTGGCTCTATTATTACTGAGGGATTCTCTGTTGTTTGACCCTTATGGCCCAAAAAAGGTAAGAATTACCAAAATAAAAGCTCCTGTGGTGAGTCAATATACTGAAATACTTTTTATAACAAAACTAAGATCAACATATGACAGTAAGTTACTTCTTATCTCATCATTATGACTCAGTGAGTGTTGATTTTTTTTTTTTTTAACATTAGATATTAATTATATAAAGTTTCTGTTATTTTAATGACTCATTAATGTAAAAGCAGGATTTTACTGCTGTAGTTGTTGAGCTGGAGCTCATTTTGTATCAGTGAGGTGGTTGTTATTCACAGATTTTAACAGCACAAACATTTTACATTTCATGTCATGAAATCACAATTTGTTCAGCCACCAAAATTAATTGACCCAAAATAGCAATAAAAGCACTTTCGGTGTTGAGTCAAAAAAACAATTAAATATTACCGAACAATTACGTTGACATGTCGGCATTGTGGAAGCATTTTAAAGTGTCACAGAAAGACACACAAATTGGGCGGGTCCTCGCACTTGTAGCGCGTCGGGGTGTGAGCCGGCCGAGTTGCATATTCTGGAGCTCTACTGGCTTTTTTGTGCGTCTTGGGATGATAAATGTACCACAAAAATCTTGGTGATTCAGTGTGCATGGGCTGCATCTTTGAAGGGACACTTCCTTATTCCAGCAGGTGGCACTATGAGGTTGGGTGAATTTTGTCCTGTAGATGTGTTCAGGGCATGACCCTTATCAAATATGTGAGAGAGGAATGAACTTTGACGACACGCTGTTATCCGAAAACTCACAAGATTCACAACATAGAATCATCAATGTGTTAAGGCTGTTCTGAGACTATTTTGAAGCAGGTGAGGCAAATATGTTGGGAGTAGTACATGACAGCGTAAAACTTGACACTTCCTGTGGCCAGCAGGTGGCGCTATGACTGTGGGTGAATGTCGGCATGTACATATGTTCAGGGCGGGACTCTTATTAAACATGTAAAATTCTGAGCATGTACAGTGAAGTTACACCAACTTCCTGTGTCAAGGTGAAGCGCGGAACTTCGCTGCCAGGTTTTACAACATGACCTCATCAATGTCTTATGGTTTTCCTGGGTAGACGGGTATTTTTAGGCCCCCAAAATTGAGGTTGCTTCCCAGACGAGAGAGAGGAGAAAAAAAATTCTTCAGTTTCAATACTGATATCATAATAAATTCATTTTATGGCCTATGGTACTGAAAATGTAGCTCAATGATTTATAGTTAAGCTGGGTGTAAGGTTCAGTTTGACAAATAGCATTACAAGGTAGCAACAGAAAATGAGACAACTGATAGCGTTGCTGAGGAGAGATAGGCTATCGTCATATTGTCAGATTCTATGTTGTGAATCCTCTACCAAATTTCACACATTTCATAAGGGTCACGCCCTGAACACATCATGCAAATATTCACCCAACATCATGGCGCCACCCACTGGTAAGTGGTATTTTACCCTTCCCAAATTTATATTTTAATGTGCATTTTTTTTTCAATTTCTCTGTTGCTTTTATGTTTAATGTAAAGCACTTTGAATTACCTTTGTTGTTGAAATGTGCTATACAAATAAACTTGCCTTGCTACACCTTGACATCTCACTTACTGTGTTTCTCTCTGTTGATAGAGGAGAAAAAGAGAGGGACTCAAACGCGACAAATCCTTCACAACATCTGGATATTTGAAGATTCATCAGAGAGTTCACACTGGAGAGGAACTGTACAGCTGTGACCAGTGTGGGAAAGCTTTCACTACATCAGTTGCCTTAAAAATCCACCAACATGTTCACACTGGAGAGAAACCGTACTGGTGTGAACAGTGTGGAAAAACTTTTGCTCGATCAGGTGTCCTAAAAATCCACCAATGTGTTCACACTGGAGAGAAACCGTATTGGTGTGAACAATGTGGGAAGGTTTTCACTAGATCAGTTCACCTAAAACACCACCAACGTGTTCACACTGGAGAGAAGCCGCACTGGTGTGAACAGTGTGGAAAAACTTTCAGCAGATCTGATAAGTTACTAATCCACCAACGTGTTCACACTGGAGAGAAACCGCACTGGTGTGAACAGTGTGGAAAAACGTTCTCTCAGTCAGGTCACCTAAAAAACCACCAACGAGTTCACACTGGAGAGAAGCCGTATTGGTGTGAACAGTGTGGAAAAACTTTTGCTCGAGCAGGTGTCCTAAAAAACCACCAACGTGTTCACACTGGAGAGAAACCTCACTGGTGTGAACAATGTGGGAAAGTTTTCACTAGATCAGTTCACCTAAAACACCACCAACGTGTTCACACTGGACAGAAACCATACTGGTGTGAACAGTGTGGAAAAACTTTTGCTGAATCAGGTAACCTAAAAAGGCACCAACTTGTTCACACTGGAGAGAAACCTCACTGGTGTGAACAGTGTGGAAAAACGTTTGCTCGAGCAGGTGCCCTAAAAGTGCACCAACGTGTTCACACTGGAGAGAAACCGTACTGGTGTGAACAGTGTGGGAAATCTTTCGCTCATCCAGGTGCCCTAAAAGTGCACCAACGTGTTCACACTGGAGAGAAACCGCACTGGTGTGAACAGTGTGGGAAAACTTTTGCTCAATCAGGGGACCTAAAAAAGCACCAACGTGTTCACACTGGAGAGAAACCGTACAGCTGTGGCAAATGTGGCAAATCTTATACCGACAGGAGAACCCTTAAAGAACACAAATGCATTCACAAAGAATCAGTGTGACAGTTTTCACAGAGCCAAGCTAGCTGTTTCCTGCTGCCCTGAATACAACCACCTGTTATCATGTGACTGTATTAATAACAATAATAAACAGAAGGACTAGTAACAATAATTGAAGTGGGGGTGTGTTATCCGACATTAGCAAAATTAAATAAGGTTGATTGAGGAACTGACAGTTTGTTATAAAGTCATTGTGACCATGGCCAAGCCATCAAAAAATTGATTTTACCTATATCAGTGTGTCTGGGGTCTTAAAGTCTTTAAAAAGTTAATAAATCAATTTTGGGAAAATTAAGGCCATTAAAATGATTTGTCTTAATCGCCATTTAACAAGGTATAATATAGATACTTTGGTCAATGTGAAAATCCTTTTTGCACAAAGAGTTGGTGCGCTTAAAATCTGTGTCAACGTATTTACTTTTATATTGCATAGCCAAAATTACTAGATAGGTAGGTTGTCACAACTGTGCGATTATTTATTTTTTTGTTGTTTTTGTTTTTTCCTGTGTTGTGTAACGCTAGACCCAGGGATCTACAGTGCGAGCATTTCACACTCATATGCCCCTAAAAATAGATCCTCCAAACTTTACGAGTCACAGATACAACTAGGGATACACCAAAATGAAAATTCTTGGCCGTAGCCAAAACCGAATATTATGAAAAACTTTGCCGAACAAGTACATTCACATTTTCGCCTCCTTTTATTTATTTTTTTTACCATTGCATAAATGAAATGGTCAATAAGTGCTTTTACTCTGTAAAGTAAATTACATGTGTCCATTTACTTTTAATGTACACATGTAATATGTTTATACTTTCTGTGAGTGTAATCTTTTTTTGACTTATTAGGCCGAACACCGAAAGTGCTATGTTTGCTATTTCTGGCCGATTAATTTCGGTGCATCCCTAGTTACAACAGAACGTATTCTTCCACTTAGTCGGACTGAGCGCTGACAGTTTGAAAACCGGCGTTACTCAAACACAAGAGCAAGATGCGCCATCAACAGGTGATCGGTAAGACTATGGCTAACGTTTAATATGTTATAATATACTAATACACTCATTTATACCAGCTCCTCTTCCAGGTTGTGGGTCGAGTCTCTGCAGTGGACAGATGTGGATTTAGCCAGGATGCCATCGTGCCAATATGTGCTGCCTCCTCCTGAGAGAGACATGTTCTCCTTGTTCTATTACAGGGGGCTGGGTATCGAGTTCAATACTTTTTAGGCACCGACCGAATTGCGAGTATCAAAAATGCCTTGTCTTTTGGCACCAAAGTTCGAAACCTAAAGGTCCTTGTTAACGCCAATAAGCATGCAGCATTCTTGATGTGGCCACATCTAAAAGTGATTGTAATGGCTGTGGTGATGTAAACACGAGTTCACGCGGAGACGTGGCTCGTGGATGTAACTAAAAGACGTGGAGAAAATCAAACATGTGGCTTGGTGCAACAGCGTGCGATGTAATATTTGTGACGTAAGATAATTGCTGCCAAGAGCGGCGACGCGACAAACCTGGTGAAGCCCTTGACTGTGCATGGAATAAACTTAAGAGCAGAAAGTTGCTCCGTCTTTGCTGCAACAAGACAGAGACAGAGTCATCGTCTCAGCTGTATGTGCAGCCGGCAGAAGCGCTTCCGCGTGACTGTGACATCACGTACCGATCCTTGGGCTGATGTCTGCGACTTTGCTGCAGTGGATTAAAGACACGCGCGGCTGAGTTTACTTTCTATTGTGATAGTTGTTGCCTGGACAGCTCTTCCTCTAGTGAGGTGGAAACTTTGTAGTGGCAGAAACTTGTTTCCATGAGAAGAGATTTCTCTCTCTTTCTCTCAGGCCTGTTGCCATGAATGTTCAGGTTGCAATGTTGCAAGAGCACAAATTCACATAAATAATAAAAATATATAATAAACAATGAAATGACATTATAAAAACTAAAAGAGGAATAAAAACAACAAAAACACAATATAGGCCTATGTTACACTGAAAATATGTCTTGGTTTTGACAAGCAGTAGCATTTTTCAAAGAAACAATTATTAAAATGAACTATTAATGATAATGTCATAATTAAGTTGGTTTTGACAAGCAGTAGCATTTTTCAAAGAAACAATTATTAAAATAAACTATTAATGATAATGTCATAATTAAGTTACTTTATCCAAACAACAATGGTTCTCCGTTTGTTGAGAATAAAATTGGTATCGAAAAAAGTATCGTTCAGGAACCGGTATCGAAGTCGAGGTATCGAAAATCTTTTAACGATACCCAGCCCTAATTATAAATCTGTTTTACTGAAGTTATTGTTATAACTTTTGGGGCGGCTGTGGCTCAGGAGATAGAGCGGGTTGGCCGTTAATCGGAAGGTCGGCGGTTCGATCCCTGGCTCCCCCTAGTTGCGTGTCGAAGTGTCCTTGGGCAAGATACTGAACCCCGATTTACCCTTGGCGGCTATTCCGCCAGTGTATGAATGAGTCTGAATGTTAGTTTCCGTTTGAGCACTTAGGCTCAGTGTATGAATGTGTGTGAATGTAGTGTAAAAGCGCTTTGAGTGGTCAAAAAGACTAGAAAGGCGCTATACAAGTACGGAGCATTTACATAAAAATGGACACAAATAAGCTTTAGGATGCCGCCTACACTACCAACGTTATCCATCACTCTAGTTATTCTCTTCAGCTTTGTTCCCTTCTGGCGAAAGAGTTTTTACTTTTACAGTCTCAAAATATATTTATGTAAATGTAAGTTAAAGGTGCGTTGTGTAGTTTCTAGTGGCTTCTAGCAGTAAGGGTTCAGATTGCAACCAACAGTTCACCCTTTCCATATTTCTGCCTGAAAATAAATTACAACTATGTCAGGTAGTTATCCACTGGTCAATGCATGCAAGCAAACATTATCTAGTCTGAAACAACTAAAACACAAAATCACACTGTGGTTCACATGATTTTCAGTAATGTTGCAAACATAAGCGTCATAGCTGATTTAAAACAATGGATTTTTGCAGGAAATCCGACCATTTCTTCACAAAGAAAACAGGCCTATACAGACTGAGAAGGTTGGTGAATGCTTCAGTTTTTAGATTACAACCTGGTCACATATAGGCCATAAAAATTTAATGAGTATATTTAAATTTCACAATTGCGTTGCTGACTTAACCGGTTTTAAAATGTATTGAATTTTACTTCAGGAGACCTGTGTATATACCCTGTATATGTACTTATTAATCTGCTTTTATGTCATTACCTTATGTTTTGATATAATGACCTTCTGTGAGATTTTGTTTCATGCTTTCCTGTGAGAAAGGAGTTCCCACTGTGGCTCAGCCAAATCACTCTGTTATTCTTACTTTAATAAATATCACAAAGACACCTGTTTGTTGTAACGTCTTTATTTCTTCAGAAGGAAATATACAAAAAAATACAAAACAGTCATACTTACTGTGACGTGTTCACCATCATCCCGTTAAGTCTGTGAGGGCGCTGGGGCTGCATTAAGCTGCAGTATTAACGAGCAACGATACTACTGTCAATGTTGGAGAGATTAGTGTATGATGATCTTGGTAAAGAGAGATTTTGTGGAAAACCTCTTTATCGTCTTCTCACTCTCACATTCCTTATTAAATATCATGTTTTCTAATGAACTGCATCACTTGTGGAAAACAAAAGCCCACTCTTTGGCCTCTGAGTCTGTTTGGGGTCAAAAGAAACCTCCAGACTTTCACTCTCAGTCCTTCAGAGTCTAACAGCTTCCAGAGGTTTTGTTGAAGAGTCAGACTGTGTTTGAGCGCCACCTGCTGCTCATTAAGCAGACAGACCAATAAAGATGAAGAATAAAGAGAACAGAGTGCTGCTGTTCCTCCATCTTCTGCTCTTTCCTTCATTGTTTTACTCTCTCTGGATGCTGCTGTGCTCTGACAGGAAATCACTGACGTTTAGTGGCTGAACGAGCAGCTTTGATTTGTTATTGAACTTTCTAATGTGTCTGTTAGCTCACATGTCTTTGACCTTTACACCTCAGCTCATGTCAGCGTTGATGTTTCCTCCCTTACTGTAACGTACAGAAGCTGATGTGCTTCCTGCAGTAGTTTGGCTTGTATCTGCTGTAAGCTGCAGTTAATAATTAGATCTGTTCTGGCTCTATTATTACTGAGGGATTCTCTGTTGTTTGACTCTTATGGCCCAGAAAAGGTAAGAATTAACAAAATAAAAGCTCCTGTGGTGAGTCAACAATTTTCAAGTACTGAGATTTTTTTTATACCAGAACTGAGATGAAAATATGATGGTAAGTTACTTCATATCTCATCAGTATGACTCAGTGAGTGTTGATTTTTTTCATAATGTATAAACTGTTGGGAGTTTAACTCATAACAATATATATATATATATACACTAAATGTGAACTCTTCATGTGTTTGTGTGTAAACTTTTTAATTTGTAAACCAGTAACTAAAGCTGTCTGATAAATGTACAATATTTCCCTCTGAGATGTGAAGTAGAAGTAAAAAGTAAAGTAAAAAAAAAGGTAAGAATTAACAAAATAAAAGCTCCTGTGGTGAGTCAACATTTTTAAGGTACTGAAATACAGGATTTTCAGTAGTAGAGTCTGGTGTGGAGGATTTATATTGTGTAAAAGAAAACTTATAGTAATAATTGTATAAACTGGTGGGGGTTCAACTCATAACAAAACGTTATATTTTAAACACTAAATTTGAATGTTTCTTTTATGTGTTTCTAAGTAACTGGTAACTAAAGCTGTCAGATAAATGTATTCAATTCAATTCAATTCAATTTTATTTATATAGCGCCAAATCACAACAACAGTTATCTCACAGCGCTTTTCATAAAAGAGCAGGTCTAGACCGTGACTCTATGATGGTATTTACAGAAGCCCAACAGTTCCCACCAAGAGCAAGCACTAGGAGACAGAGGCAAGGAAAAACCTCGAGCAGAACCATGGCTCAGGGTGGGTGGCCATCTGCCTCGACCGATTGGGGTGAAGGAGAGAGAGAGAGAGAGAGAGAGAGAGAGCAGGAGAGGAACAGAGAGAAAAAGAGAGGGATGTAAGGAGAGAGAGAGGGGGGAGGGAGGCAGCCTACACAATATACACACAGAGGTACAGACAGTGAAGGTGATGTTGCTATAAACTAAATGAAAAATGGTACAGATATTTATAGTAGTGTTAATGGTAACAGTCGTAATGTTGATGATTATAATAACAATCAGACTAGCAACAAGTCGTTGCAGCAGAGGGTGTCGAGCAGGAACACGGGGGCAGCAGGTGACCCGCAACCACAGATCCAGA